GGTGTGCCGTCAGGGGAAGCCCCCGAGCCCGGCTCCCCGCAGCGCCTGCCGCTGAGGGCTACGAAGACAGACCGTGCTTTGTGCTGAGAATGTACACATCTCGCTGAGCTCGCTGTTTCAAGCCAGTGACCTCTCGGCCTTTTTTTGAGGGAGAGTACAGCCAAATGAGGGTGCGCATTTTTCCCCAAGCACGTGTGCGGCTACATGACAGCAGGCAGGGTAGCCCCACGGCTTGGAATAAACAGGCCGGAGGCTGAAAGGGACAGTCTCCGGTTCCTTTCCCCCCTATCCCAAAGCTTAATCTTCCTGTGGTTTCTAGGGACTCTAAAATGTGCTGTGTGCCTCAGGCTGTTTTCAGGCAGATTAGAGAGCTGACCAGGCCTTCCCCTTGCTTTCATGACCACCAGTGCCGTAGGACACAGCAAGCTTGCCTGTTTTTAACAGGCGGATTGTCTCAAGCCAACGTTCAAAGTTCACCTTTATGCCAAAGACTTTCAACAGTCAAAGCGTAACCATAGTTTTGTAATAACCTTTGTTGTTAATAGTAGTGGTATTGTTTTGCGGAAAACTCTAACTTGTTTGTTTTTCCACAGGAAAACCCATCAGCTTCTCCCTGTTGATTTTGCTGTTAATATGAGAAACATGTTGCCCTTTTATCGTATTCTCTTTTATAGTGGTTGAAACATTTTGCTGTATCTTTGGATTGTTATCTTCAATGGACACATGGGTGTTTTGAGACCTCAAAAGAGTAGTGAACTATCACAGAAAAGTTTTACAAAATTTAAAGCATTACATTTCCAAACAGACTTTTTGCAAAGTTGGATTTAAACACTTTCTTGCATATCCTAGTGTGGGCACATCCTGGGCTGTATTATGAAGAGCATAACTAGCAGAAGTGCTCCATTCTCTCTATTTCGCACTTGTAAGACTACATCTGAAGTACTGTGTCTAGTTTGGGGCTCACCAGTACAAGGAAGACATTGACATACTGGCGTGATTCCAGTGGAGACCACCAGACTGGTGAAGGGGCTGGAGCACATGACATAGGAGGACAGGCTGATGGAACAGGATCGGTTCGGTCTCATGAAGAGAAGGCTGAGGGGAAATGTTATGGCAGTCTGTGACTATGTGATTGAGGACACAGAGAAGTGAAGCCAGATTCCTCTTGGAGGTGAATAGCTGTAGGGCAAGAGGGAGCAGGCACAAGCAGGAGCATGGAAAATTCCAGTTATTTGTTAGGAAGAAGGATTTTTACTGTGAGAGTGGTCAGATACTGGAAGAGGTTACCCAGAGAGGCTGTAATCTCTTCAGTCTGGGAAATGTTCAGGAACCGATTGGACACGTCCTTGAGTAACCTGATGTAATGAGATCTGTTTTGAGCAGGGGATTGGATTAGGTGACCTCTGGTCACATGCTTGTTTGGGTTGAAAATAACGATTCCTATGTTTTGTCTTCAACCAGGAGGTAAGAGCCGATATCAGAAATCAATGCTGTGAAGATTCTTGGCAGCATCATTGACAGACAGACTTACATTCATATCTCTGATTTCCCACATTGTTTAATGTGTTTATAAACCCAATCTAATGGCAGCATGGTAAAAAAATTCAGAAAGGTCTTTGGGAAAGGTCTAGCGTGCTCATTCAGGAGGGAGAAAAGAGGCATTTAATTTGTGTTCTAGTTTTGAGTGATTGTCAAGGTGTTGAGGCCTTGTCAGAAAAAGCGTTTTGTCTTTAGTCCTGAAGTCTGTCACAATGTACAATACTGTACACAAAGTTCAAAGGAGAATGAATAATAAATGTGGCACTGAACAGAAAACCTCTGAAATTCGTGATTACCAGGATTAATCTCACTGGGGACACAAAAACTATGCTGACTGTAAAACTTTGAGATTAATTTTCAGTAAAGTTGCAGTCTAGCCTTATGTCTATATTAAGAGTTTACCCCCTACTCAGTTAAGGTCTCCTTAGATCAGATTGCTCAGAGTCTTGTCTGCTAGAGTTTTGAGTAGCTCCAAAGATGCCTCTTCAGGCAATTTGCTCCAGTATTTGACCACTCTGATGGAGAAAAAGTTCTTGTCAGAATTCCCTCTGTTCCAGCTTGTGTCTGTTACTTCTTGTCATCTCACCATGCACTGTATCACACATGTCATCAGTAATCAACTTGCTTGCTGTTACGGTGGGAGCAGTAATAGTTACGACTGTAAGTTGTGTGAAAGTCTGTATTCTAAATGAAATCTGTCAAACAAAAACTTACATGGTTTTTATCTTTTTGACAGTGATATTTTCTGAATATTTGGGCAACCAGCTATTTGGTTATTGGGTGGGAGAAGTGTATGCATTTGGTGTTCAATGAGAATGGAAGGAGAGCACAGGAATTTTTGATGGAAATAACCATTGAGTGTTCTGGTAAAAACTGGCTTTGGAATCAATAAGACGTGGCCCGTTGAAAATATTCAGATTTTTATAGAACATTTTAAAGAGGAAGATTGAATTTAAGAGTTGTTATTTGGGGCTTGTCTAAACTCCTTATAGAAATGTGTTGTCAAAGACCCCACAGGTATCACTTGAAATATGATGAGAAATTGCTGGGGTGCTAAAACGAAGAGACAAAAAACTTCAATTCAAAGCTACTGCTCACCAAAAATGCACAGCAGTGCATTTATTTAGCCTTGTCAGATTGATGGGAACTTTCTTCTTGCACAGCTTAAAAGTTCTTTTTCTCTTTTTTTGTTTATTTTTCTTTTTTTTTTTTTTAAGTTCTTTAACTTTAGACTTACAAAGCTGTAAATCCCAACTCTTTCATGCTTTTGAAAGAATACTTTTAAAATACAGCTGATCGGTTAGGTTTCATGTTCATCTGCAGTTTGCTTTGGAGCCTGTGCACTTCTGTGGTGGCTTTTACACAGCTGAACTTCATGCTTTATGAAATGTTTTTCAGTATAATTTCTTTCTTTCATAGTAAGCGATGGATTGGAGCTGAGGCCAAAATACAATGGGATTCTGCACTGCATGACCACTGTCTGGAAGCATGAAGGACTACGAGGCTTATATCAAGGGGTAACTCCAAACATGTTGGGAGCAGGGGCTTCCTGGGGACTTTACTTTTTCTTGTAAGTAGAACTGTAAAATGTGTCATATCCTGTGCAATGTAATGTTCAGATATACACTGCATCTTCTTTGGGGATATAAAAATGTGCTAAGTGGCTTATAAACTTGTGATTCTTTTAGTAAGTCCAGGTCTGTTACGCTTTATTATGGTTTGCTGTTTTAGAATTTAAGCAATTGGAGTCAGAGACCTGTTACTTTGTCAAGTACAGTGCATTCCCTTGATGCTGTGAGAATACTGAGGAACTTGAGAGATGGTAACACCATTCCTGAAGAATCCTCTAAAAGCACCAATTACACTGTGTTTAAAATGTCACAAAAAAGAAGAACCTAAACTGATGTGTTAAGAATTAGAGAACACGATAAAGTGTTCTACTAAAGCTAAATGTTTAACTGATTTTTAATAATTTTAGTGACAGTCAGTTCTTTCATTGTTTTTGTGAGAAAAGCCTGGTTTTTAATACTCAATCTTTTCTACTTTATTACCTGTGTAACTGTGACCTGATTTACTGCTGATGCCTATTAATTGAAACACTTTAGGGAATAGTTAGTTGGTATGCCTATGCAAACCTCACTTGTCAGTTGTCTAGACTCTGTTATTGTTGTACTTCAGTCCTCAAGCTTTGCTATAGGTTCCTATTGATGGTTCAGTTCCTGTTGACAGTCCACAAAGACTGGAAACTGGATCAAGAGAAGAAAAGCTCACTGTATTTCTGAGCTAGAAGATAGATACCTGTCACTGTTGCTCTCAATAAAAAGGAGGCTATCTAATCGGTTTCTTTTAGTAGTTAATTCTTGAGATCTGATAGCTGTTTCAAGATGCAGTCCCATTGATACTGACAGTAATACTTTATCAATTTAAATATCTATTACCATAGTTCACTTAAAAGAGCTAACTTCTCAGAGATCAATTAATCAACTAAACAAAGATAGTTTGCTTAGATACCTCTTTTCAAAGCCTGTGTACCACCTAATGTTTTCCATGATCTTGAGTGAGGTGTTTTTGTTGTTTTGGGTTTTTTTTAGTGATGTAGGTTTGTTTTCACTTTTACCAAAATATATTTTAAATTTTCCAGTTACAATGCCATCAAAGCTTACAAGAAGGAAGGGAAGCTGGAAAGTCTCAGTGCAACCGAACACCTAGTGTCAGCTGCAGAGGCTGGTGAGTTTAAATGCAAAGAAGATTAATATTTGCTTCTAGCCTTTCCATATGTTGCTCCCTGCCTTTGTGTGTCAGTGCTGCTTTTTCTTACAGGTGGCAAGTATAAGTGTTCGAGTCCAAATGCAATAATTTGTTGTTTGTAAATGAATTAATGATGTCTAAGATGAATAGATGGATCACTGTGGTCTTTTCAGTTTTGCTCAGACTAGCAGTTGTCAAAATACCTTTTGACACTGTTTTCATTGTGTAAAAGCATTTTCCATATTTAGTACTATGTTGAGTCCCAAAATATAACTATATAAATCTGCTGCTATCAGCTTGTTAGCTCGTTAAATGTTTGACAATGAGACCTGGAAAAGAGAAGGCCTGTTGAAGTTAATAGAATAAGTGAATTGGTCATTGGCCTTTGAAAATCTTTATGGTCCAAGTTTTCTTCAAAACTAAAGATCTGAAGTAAAAATACAACTTCTATCAGCAAGACTTTTAATATGTTGTTTCTAACATATATTCTTGTACATGCTTCTGTGTTGCATTTAATCTAGGCAATTGAGAAGACTTTTTATTAGGATGTTGGAGCATTCATTTAATGTTGAAATATAAGGCATATTGTTTGATGTGAAAAATAGTAATGGCTTATTTTACAACTGTATTTTCAATAACCTGTAAAGCTATAACAGGTTGCTTCTATTAACCTGTCAATACGATTAAGCAAATTTCTTATGACTGAGGTGTCCATTAAATTTTGAACAATTGTATACCCAAAGAATAGCTGAGATAATCAGGAGTACATTAAGAAATTACTTATGTTTCCTGTCTACTACAGATTACACTACTGACCGTGGAAAGTTGAGGCAAAAAAGGGGATGTACTAGGAATATGCAAAAAGCCGTATGCTCTACAGAAGTACCCCCAGCAGGAGTAGGTTGGACTTGATTGTGAGCTTTGAAGGCAGAGAGAGGGAACAATGCTGGGCATAAACTTCGCCTGTTTTAAGTAGTATGAGTACTCTTGTAGGATAAGTAGTTTTGTCGTTGTAGAAGCCTGTGTTACACTGGACTGAACAAACTGGGACAAGCTTTGGAGTTGGCATAACGATCAGTCTAACTTCCATCTGTTCTCAGGAGCCATGACTCTCTGTATTACAAACCCAATATGGGTAACGAAGACACGACTTGTGCTACAATATAATGCTGGTGTTGATCCATCAAAGCGGCAGTACAGAGGAATGTTTGATGCTCTTATAAAGATATACAAGACAGAGGGCATACGTGGCTTATATAAGGTAATAAAATTTAAGAAAAATTCCAGGATTGGCTGGCACCACTCAGTAGCATGGTGAGACTTGTAAATACTCATCTACAAAAAAAAATGCAAGTCATTTTTTGTATTAGCTCACTTACTTTTATTCTGTGAGTCTTCTTTCCCACTGAAGAACTGCAGCAAAATGGCTTAATCAGAAGAAAAGCTATTATACTGTCGAAATGTAGGAAGTCACTGAAGACTAGAGTGTAAGCTTTATGGCTAAGCCATCTTCTATTGGTTGATAATGCTGAAATGAGAGTAAACTACAAGCTGCTTTTTATTTTTCTGGAGTCTTCCTATAATTAGAATTTTGATAAGGAGGCCAGCAATAGCGTAATCTATCTTGCTGCTAGTGGTTTCTTCCATTTCATCCCTTATCTCTGTCTTTCTGACATGTTGTGGAACATAACATATGTCTAAAGTAGTTGCTAATTTTTTCTTCCACAATGGAGGGTTTCACAACTGTTCATTTGCCCTCTAGTTATTGAGGTCTGTAATCTGTCATCTCTAGATCCATAAAATTTGCAGACTTCTAAATGTTGTCTACGTATGGGTGGGTTTTTTATTCCCTCTAATTTAGGGAAACAGATGGCAACTGGATTTGGACTTTTTGCCTCCTCCTTCCTTCAGGCCATGACATCAAGATGCATTCATCAGTGCCTGGAAGGTGTGAAGAAACCTATTTTAGTTCAGTCTGGCTTTTCTCCTGCAAGTAATGCTACAGAGCAAGAACACTATCTCTTAGGAATTGTCCTGATTACTGAACATTAACTTCTTTTATTTGCAGTGAAATATATAATCCTTCCTATACTGAAAGACTAGTATGCCACATACCGATGAATGCGAAATTCTGACACAGGAGCAAGGCACCTTACTTATTCCTAAATTGAAATTGTCAGGATTTCTGATTTGCCTGCCTGGATGTCTGCTCTGTTCTGTGTAGATAAGTTCTAATTTCTTGCATCTGTTAGGGTTTAAGATGTCCTTCCACTGAGTTACTTTTCAGATTAGTTGTGCATGTAGCATGTGTTGCCTTTGCTTTGTAGTGTTAATCTGCAAGTAGGGAACTAAACCAGGTAGTTCCTTTGAAAGAGCAAATTACTTGCTTAAATCTGCAAAGAAGGTGACCTAGATAGATCCTGAATGACCTACATAACTGTGCACACTGAGCAACTTTCATTTGATGTCAGGATTCTCTCAACCTTGTCTATACTGGGGAAAAAGGCACCTCTTCAGGTGGCTCTTTGACTTGTCCATACTTTAGCCTTCCTCCATTTTCTGGTTTTGGGGGAGTTTTCATTTTTTCTCTTTCTTGCTTTATTTGAAATTTGACAGCTGAAGTTTTGTTAATTGTCCTGAGTTGCAGGAGCTGTAGTGCGCACAAATGTCGTCTTTTTCCTCATAATCTTAATTTCAGATAGAGTTCCTTACAGCAAATAAGGGGATCTCAGAGAATACCACCACAAGTTGGAAATAAAATCTGGAAGTAGTTTCTTTTTGACTAATTTGAGATTAGTCTTCTAAAGAATGTATTTCTGTCCAAGCAATTCCATATCTTGCTCTCTATTGCACAAGATGCTGTTACTGGTCTGATCAATTCCTTTCAGTCCTTTGGGGTACAAGGCTAGTAATGTCAGGGTGCATCAATCTTTCTAGCAGGGATCAAAGCTGTCTTTATTAGCTCTGTTGGGTATTGTTCGTTCATTAAACTATAGTTTATCTGAAGCTGGATTCCTCAATAACTTGTTCTTGAACTTGGCCTGGTTTTGAAAAGACAGGAGCCTTTTCTTCACTGATTATCCCAGTAATCATCTAGTCAGTGATCTTCCCCACCCTCCATCCATTAGGCTTGGCCCTTTGGCCTCTGACCCCCAGATGACTGGGGACAGAGCTGCTCTGCTGCACACCAGGCTGAGGAAGAAAACAGCTTATGGTTACGTAATTTGAACATGCCTATAGATTTGTTGGAGATCTGAGCTCTAAAAATTACTTTGCCATGAAGTTGAATGTCATGCAACCATTTCCATGTTAAGAGCACTGTATGGTTCTTTTCAAGCGTAAGGCAAGAGAGACCAAACATTGTAAAATAATTGTAAGATGGTAGGAGTTGGCACTTTCAGAAAAACATAAAATATCTCTGAGCTCTTGGGAAACAGTTAGATGTCTAGTCTAGAGTGACTGACTACTAAAACATCAATTAAGAATGCAACTAACATTCTTCCTGGCCTCCATGCTTCTGTATTTGTATTTTCAGTTTCGTTCTCTTTTCAGCGATGATGTAGAAGCAGCAATTAGAAATAGAGCAATGCTTAATAGACAACAGTAAAATAAACAGGAAGTGCAGAAAATGTAAGGAGATGAAAAGAAAATACAGAGTCATCAAGACTGAGAATAATAGTGCAGTATGCTAACAACAACAACAAAAATATCCTAGCAGTGTGCCAGTTACCAAGTGAAATAGGTATATTGGACACTTCTGTATTGTCATTTCACCTTTGGTAGGCAAGATTCTATACTCTGAGGATAAAGTATTTTTTCCAGTCCATTAATGTCTATTTTTTTGCTATGCTTTTGCTTATGCTATTTTCCTTCTTCTTGCAAATGTGAAGCTTGTAAGCTAAGTGACTTTCTGTGTCTTTGTACTTGTATATAGCAAAATCCACTGAGATTTGGCCATCTTGATTTTAACTTTAGTCCCAGGTTCTACAGAGAGACAGAAGCGTAAGTAACTTTTCACATAAAAGGTGGTATTGTGTTTCACCATGAAGGAATCAAGATGCCTAGGGAAATAATGGCATACTTCCAGTGTCTTTCTGCATAAGTTGTCAGAGCAGGGCACTCTGGTACTACTGGTCTTTGGCACACTGAGAACCCAAATGAAGACAACACTAAACAGATTACAAGGGGAGTCTGCTGCATTCTTTCGAAACGTATAGCAGAGGCTACTCTGGCGTGAGCACTCTCAAACACTTCAGGCAGTGATGCGAGTACCACATCACCAAATGAACGTTGTTCCCTACTTTACTGAGAAGCATAGGCTTTCCATTATGTACATTTACCTGTGTTCCTTTTCATTGTGATGGGCGACCTTTGAAACACTAACCAATGGGACATTTTTCTCTTGTCCTGGATCTTCAGTACTTACAGCTGTATAAGCCAACTTTAAAGTACAATTTTTTTCCCACTGTCTACTGTTCAGAATTATATGCTTTAACATTTAAATTTCTAATTATATATTTAATTCTGTCTATTCTGTCTATTGTTCTAATTCTCCAAAAGAGAATTCAAACAGGACTTCTTTGAGCAACCATTAATCCTGTCAAGCCCTCATAGCAAAAATCTTCTAAAGATATGTTTTGAATATTAAAGTAAAAAATAACAAGAAGTACATAAAGTGAAATGTTTTTAAAATTGATATTCACAGTCATATTATAGATGAAAAATAAATAACAACTATCAAATTTTGTGGCAAGAAAGATTTTTGTGTAAAATTGCAAGAATAAGAAAATAGAATAGGAATATCTTTCAAAAACTTGCACAGCCAAGATATTTCCTTACTGTGAAGAAATCAGTTTTGCTTTGAAACATTTTTCCATAAGAACATATTGTTTTTTATGTTCAATAGAAGCTTGGGTCAGCTTTTTTTTTTACTGAGGCGCATTGGCCGACAGTTGCCTCACTCCCTTTTTGCATTTTTTAATATTGGCCCAACATTAAAAGACCTTCAGTCTTTGGAAGCTTTCCCCGTCAGCACAAGACTTGGAGCGTGCTGGTACTCATTTAGCAAGTATCATCAGTAGATGATTTAGGACTCTTGGGTGCAAGTTATCCAAATCTGCTGGCTTAAATTTAAGAGTTTAGCACTCTTAAATGTTGTTTAACATTCTTCTTTTGTTGGTGGGGAAAATATTACCTCATTCTCCTATGATATAAACACATCATTCTAATTTTTTCCAAGTAGAGAGCAATTACTTCCTCTGTCTTTTAACGGTTTTACTGTCTAATCGTGGGCAAATGTTTGTGAAGATTTTCCCTGCTGTCACTATACATAAATTTCATAATGTTCCTTGTTCTGCTGACCCGGATAATTTTTTCTTTGATATTTCAATGATTTTGTTTTTCTCTGTTCCTCCTCTTCTGTTTTTATATCACTGGTTAATTTTCTTCTCTGATCCTGGAAAGGAAAACCAAAGTTGTCCTTTTCCCTCTGTTGTGGCCCTTTGGCTTCAAACTTCACAAAATTCTATGATTATGCTCACAGTTGACGAAATACAGATGTTTGGTTTAATTCCACTTGTACTCGTTTGGGGAAGTATTTTTTCTGAGACTCTCGCTAGCCCTTAATGCATTTTGACAGTTCATGGTCATTGATGATTAGTTCATGACCATTATTTTCTACTGTGAGGAGAAATTCATCCTCATTTGTCAAAGAGATCTTAAAAATCACTTCCTGAATGGCTATAATATTGTAAACTTAACAAATCTATAGCATGCAGAGAGCTAATCTCTGAAGTAGTAGAAGCTCTGTGCAATTTTTATGCCTGCTGTTGTTTTAGGGGTTTTTTTTTTCTGCAAGTTAGGAGTATATGAAGTAATATATCATTTTGTCCTGTTACACTATTCCCATAGACTCCTGGATTCCACCACCAGGATCCCTTCTCTTTTTCTTCTCCTTCTCCAGGCTCTTAGTAATATATTGATAAATCTTTATTCAACATTCTGGGCTTCAGATTTAGTCTAATACAGAGTTTTGTGTCTGGGCATATCTTTTAATTCCTCTGTCTTATCTGAATGAATCATGGGAACTGTTTGATAGCAGTATTTTGGGGAAAATTTTGATTCTTTGAGTCCTTTTACCCACATTTTGATCACTTACTCCATTATAATTGTCCCTTTGCAACAGTTTTCAGCAAGCTTTTGGCTCCCTTAAGTAATTTCTGGCCAAGGCGATTAATTCCCCATTTATTTGTATTTTTCCAGTGTAAGTGACCAACTCTTCAAAAAGAGAATTAGTGCTTCTCAGAACCCATGCAGCTGTCAGCTCATTTTCAACTGAGCTAGTCCTGCTCCTGAAGGAACGCCTGCCTTCTCTTTCTTGTAGTGACACTTCAGAAAATACCTGTTTTCCCCCTTCATTTCAACTTTTTGAAAGAAAAGGTTTCTGTATATTTTCATATTATACTCTCACTGTCCATTACTGCCTCTTACAAGTGGGGAACATTTCCCAGACTGTTTTGTTACACCTTTGGTCACCTCTGCTGCAATACCTTGGGGTGTGCTCTGAGCAGGATGAGGAATGCACTCAAACTGATCTGAATCTTAGATTTATTTCTTTAATGTAAATCACCTGTAAGTCCTTGTATGAGTTAGCTTTCCATCTGTGCCCTTCAACTTTCCACTGTGCAAGTGTGCGTGTGTGAAACACATTGAGATGCTGGAGCGTGTCCAGAGAAGGGCAACGAAGCTGGTGAAGGGTCTAGAGCACAAGTCTTATGAGGAGCGGCTGAGGGAACTGGGGCTGTTTAGCCTGGAGAAGAGGAGGCTGAGGGGAGACCTCATCGCGCTCTACAACTACCTGAAAGGAGGTTGTAGCGAGGTGGGTGCTGGTCTCTTCTCCCAAGTAACAAGCGATAGGACAAGAGGAAATGGCCTCAAGTTGCGCCAAGGGAGGTTTAGATTGGATATTAGGAAAAATTGCTTCACCAAAAGGGTTATTAAGCATTGGAAGAGGCTGCCCAGGGAAGTGGTTGAGTCACCATCCCTGGAGGTATTTAAAAGACATGTAGATGTTGTGCTTAGGGACATGGTTTTGTGGTGGACTCGGCAGTGTTAGGTTTGTGGTTGGACTCGACGATCTTAAGGGTCCTTTCCAACCTAAATGATTCTATGATTCTACATATATACACATTTTTTGTATAGAAATGTATATATCTCATAGATACACATTTATATACACACTCACACATGCACACACTTACATGCCTATCTCCAGGACTTGATCACAAGAATTTTTTTGTACTTCTACTCCTGATGGCCCTCCTCACTGAGACGCCAGCTTCTGTCATTGCCTTACCAGTCTCGGGTGGGAACTACAGGGCTTAGTGCCAGTCCCTGGAAGGGGGCAGGCACTGAGCAGCACATTTGCAAGACTGCAGCTTGATTTGTATTCTTACAATCCTGATCCATGTTACCAGCTTTTTAAGACCTGTGCTTGTGTTCTATGAGGTGGAGTCCCTAGGCCACTTGTTTTATCTTGCTCACTCATTAGGTGCCTTTAGCCTGTATGTCATTTGGAGAAATGTAACAATTTTTACACTTTTGTGTGATGCTTGCCATTAAGAATACGAACCCAGAATCGGCTTTGAATCAGACTGCACAGTGACAGTTGTGCCGTCACAATTTGTAAAGTAACGGAGGACATATGTATTTGTGTCAGCTGAGCTCTGTTGAGTTGTATAGTTTTTGTGCATTGCTGTTTAACCTTGTTTTATTCCTTTTTTTAGGGATTTGTGCCTGGTCTGTTTGGAACTTCACACGGAGCACTTCAGTTCATGGCATATGAGGATTTGAAACTGAGATACAACAAGTATAGAAACAGAGTATCAGATACAAAATTGGTACGATTCTTGAGAATAAAAATGTGTTGTGGCATGTGAATAAGCAGAAATTTATTTCATTTGTCTAGGTCGTAGGACAGCCAAATGTACAACGTATTGATACATTAATTGGAATCATAGAATCATTAAGGTTGGA